CATGTAGGTGTAAATTTTGACATCCACACCAGTTTCTTGTTTCCCTTATAATGTCTTTCACACACCTCTGTTAATGATCATTTAAAGGCTGTACATTATGTAATCTACTCTCTGGTGTTGAACGAGCCATCTACCATCCAATTCTGACGTCATTTGACATATGTAATAAGCTGAAACCCTTCATTTTTGACAAAATCCACCCATGTTTACCACTTCACACAGCTACTACTCCTTCTTCCTTGCTCATGTAATATTAAATCATCATCTATAGTCTTAAAAACCCGGAAAACTCTTCTTGGCAACCTTGAATATTACTAATACCACCATTACATATGTAAACTACCCATAAAACCCTTGTTTACCAACTTGGAAAAAGTACCATTTCCTTAATAACACTGCGGGAATCAATAGGTTTGAGATCCAATTGAAGAAAGTTGCGGTGACAGGGTCTGGAACTTTCTCCAATCGCGGATCTTGTTCGCATTACGTTTGCATTACGTTTGCAAACCTCCCTCTCCTGTTTAAGTTTCATCAGTGTCCCATCCTGCACATATTCATAAACGTTCTCGTGCGCGTACGTTTGGAGCATGTTTGATTGTTCACATAGTCAATTTTTCACCACACGCAATTTGTGTAGCCATTGATCGATCTCACAGTGATTTTTCCACTTCTGGAATCATCACATAGGTGAATCAAGGGTTTATCTCCCCAAGTTCAAAATAATTCATAAAGTGGAGGTTCCCAATGAGCTGTTCAACTTGTGTTTTGTTCATAGGATTGGTAATTGGTTTGTCTCCTGTTATCATTGGCTCATCTAACGTCTATAATCCACTATGATAAAGTCAACAATGATTAAATTAAAAGTATAAAAAAGCCAACAAATGTGAAAGGAATGAGATAAACAACATCAATTGACTACAGTAGTATTAGTAAATAGTGACATTGATGGATTGAAGTGGAAGTGGTTGCCAAAGGCCTGAAATTGAGCGAGGTAGAAATCCAGATGGAACTTGATGCTGCACTTGAGGTATTGGAGATGTGAAAGTTGAGGTTGTGCGTGGAGAGTCCGGTGAGTAGAAAGCGAAGTGGTGAGGGGAGGCGAGTCCAGTTCTCCTTCTGTGGATAAAAATCTTTTTCTGAGTTTTACTCAAGGGTGGTCAGCAAACGTAATGCAAACGAGATCCGCGATTGCCGAAAGTTGCGGAACCCTGTCACCGCAACTTTCTTCAATCGGGTCTCGGACCTATTGATTCCCGCGGGTGTAACTTATATTCCTCCTTATCAACCATCATTATCAAAGCTGTTACTGTATAACATAGTTCTGTTCTTTTATATTCTACCCTCACAATACCCATAAACCTAATATTCACACCCTAAAAACCATTTCCAAGCCTGTATACCTATATGTTCAAATTTTTCTTGTGTTTTTCTTCATTTTATGTTTGAAATTCATTTTTTATTAGGGTGTACTGATCTTAATAAGTTGTTTGAAATGAGATGACCTGATCATGACATATTGGGCAAAACATAAGCCTAAAAGAGCTTCAATTGATCAGATTCCTTCAATTTCCAATTTTCCTCTATGCTGAATTTTCCTAATGACTTGATAAACAACCAATGATTAATTTTCTTTGATTGATCCCATAAATTGATCACCACAACAGTTTTCTAAATGTTGTGGCTTCCTCACAAGGTTTGAGGAATGGTGTCTATTTTCAGAAGGTTCAACAACATGATCCAATTTTGGAGTATCTTTGTGGAAAAAGATTTTATATGATTAGCATTATCTTACAAGCTGTCAAGTTTCACTGAAACTTACTCAATTCTACCCAAGACTGTGAAAGGTCAATTGGGTGTATTCACTTCTTGCGGGCCCATGGCTGTGGAGAAGGAGTGAGAGCATGATGTTAGCTTACGCTGCATGGCTCTGTTTAAGAAGTCTTTTAAATTCTTATGACTTGTATGTTGGACAAGATTTTGAATTTGGGAGCCTTACAAGGCCAGCTCCTGCAATTTGAAATTTGACTTGTTCTCCTATGATGAAACCGCTGCCTGAGTGATGTGTTGATTTTTCTTGAGATTTAGGATTGGGTGAGTGCGGATGTAGGTCCTAAATTCTTCACTTGACCAATGGTCAATGGATGGGATGTTTTCCATTTCCATACCTCCTTCTGCAAAGGCGGTGGCACCTCCAGCTTGTGAGGAGTGGCCCAATCTTGCTTCACCCAAGATTTGGCCAAGTTGGTTGATGAACCATGATCTGGTTGGTTGTCTCCCATTTTCTTGATCTAGCCAGAAAGGGTAAATGGGAAAGTGTTTGTTGTGGTAGTGAGAGTAGTGCAGGATTGTTCTGACAGGACATGTTTTGTTGCCCAAGTGTTCTGCTATTGCAACTGGTGTCCCTTTATACAAACGGTCCCCCTTGTGACAGCGAAGGTTGTAACAGGCTACTTTACCACATGTCAAGAATATCAAAGAAGAGCATCTGATTGTCTTGCAATTGTTGTGTAAAGCTAACAAATCTGGAATGGTGAGTTCCCCAATGTGGTGCAGTCTAGCAAACCCTGAAGCAATGAGGGTGTTAAAAAGGGTGTTGTCAAAAGTGGAGTTGAAGAAATGAGCTGAAGATTGCACATCTCTGATGGTAAAAGCATTGGCTTGAACAGTTGGACAAGATCTTGTCTTTGAGTAGCCTATCATGATTTGTTTGATTTTTGGGGAATGGCATGCTTGAACTACCAATGGGAATTTTTCTTGAAGACAGGAAACTATTCCTGTTAGGTATTCAATCGCAGTTTTGGGCTGGACTTCTTGAGAGATAACAGAGACCAATTGACATAAGTTTGTTTTGTCTGGCCAAAGGTGGACTACATGTCTTCACAAAATTTAACAAATCATCATAAGCCAGAGTTGCATTTTGCAATGGTTACGGGTTCTAGGTGGTTCTTTATATCAATTTGGGTATGTTTTTCTCTATCCTCAAAACTTAACCTTACAGGGGTGAATTTTTCAATTTTTAGGAGTTGATTTATTCCTATAAGTCTTAGCTTCAATTGAAAGAGAAATTTTGGATTTTGTCATGACTTGAAAGATCATTTTGGAATTTGAATAATCTTGGTTCAAATCACTTTTGTTATTGAGAAGGAGCAGTGATGGAGAGAGGTGGGAAAACTGTGGTTGATGACCGCCAGAAGCAGTTGATGGATGGGGGAAAAGGTATGTAGTTACATGTGAGGGACTATCATTTTTGCATACTGTATTTTTCCTTTTAAAAGGGCGCTGGCTACTTTGTTGTTCTCCCAAGGTACGTGCCTTACTTTGACATCAACATGCTGATTGAGCATGAGAGATACCACACATTCAACAAAAACATGTCCTTCTGGAGTTGGCCTGTGAGGGCAGAACAGGTACACCACACATTCAGAGTCAGTGAAAATCACTACCTTTGAAGCTTTCAATTCAATGGCCATCTTGACTGCTGAGACTACTGCTAGCAACTCAGCCCAGTAGCTGCAACAGGACAGTGGCAGTAAGGAGCAGCTCCAGCTACAGCCTTTTAAGGGTTGCCAGAAACCAAAACCTGTAGGGAAAGCTTCACAAAGGAACATGCAGTTGGCTTCATTTAAAGACCAATGCAGATGTTTTAGTATGCAACAACCTGGCCAAGCCTCTAAAGTGTCTGCCAACCAATTCAGGTCTTTGATTTTAGTTCTGTTTAGGGGAATATGCGAATGACAAAGACTTTTTCCTGCAATTTTATCCCAGGAGGACTGTGAAGCCCATCTTGCCAAAGGAAAGATGTTTAGGCCCAGTTGGCCCATCTGGTGATGCACTACCAGTCCACTGGTGAGTGAAATAGTTTTGATGTGAAATCCCTTAGTGCTACAATGAGGGATAGGCATTTACCTTCAGGGAGAGAGATGGAACACTCGTCACAATCAACTGAATAGCCTATGATGTTTAGGGTGCTACCAGAAATCTGCTTTTCCCAAGCCCACAGAAGGTTCATGAAGTTGAAGATCTGTAGGAATTTTGCTTGGTTCAGGGGAATTCTTCTGTCTTTGAAAGGAACCATGTCAGAGGCTAAACCAATACCCCATGAGTCATCCATATAGACATTTAAATCTGTGATATTAAATTTGTAATAAGCTGTCCACAGAATTAAAGAGAAAAAAGCACACCACAGCCTTGGGGAGCTTGAGCAACCAAAATTTATGTTCCTGTCCACATGAAAAGTGTTTCCAATCTTGACAATTTGACAGAATTTCCATTGGCGGGATACTGGTGAATTTTGGAAAATGGTGTCCACATCTGGCTTCCACAGTAAGAATTTGTTTTTACCAAAGTGATGGTAAAGCAGGAGGGGAATGAAGTACTAGATACCATCAAGGTCAATGGTGATATCTTCTTCTTTGATCAAGTTGTTGGGTAAAGGGTTTCCAAAGAACATGTTAGTACACATCCTAACTTTGCCTGAAGTAGAATTTGTTGCTAGGCATAGCGGTGAA